ACTGTATTGGTACTATTATCTATTCAGTACCACTTTGTCTCATGCCAACTCCAGTTTGTACCGTGGGCCAAGTTAACCCCGGCTAAATCGTTGTCAACATTTGGTACTGAAGGGCCTCCTGGTTGGGTCTCAGAGAAACTTTTTAACCAAAGCGTTGAAACAGCTTGGAAGTTATTCAAAGTTGCCTTTAACAAGGGATTATCCGGAACCGAAGACAAATTTCGGTTCGAAATTTTCAAAAAGAATTACCGGATGATCCTTGAACACAATCAAAAATATGATTTGGGACTGACAACGTATCGAATGGATTTGAACGAATTAGCCGACAAGGTTTGTTTATTGTAAGTTTTAATTTCGTTACTTCATCAGACTCACGACGAGCTCAAATATCTTCGGGGGCTCACTTTGCCAGCTCGTGGTCTTGTACCTCGATCGTTGTACACAGTCGATTCTCGTACTCCACCAGATGCCATTGACTGGCGTCAAAAAGGTGCGGTTACACCCGTAAAAAATCAAGGCAACTGTGGGTCCTGTTGGGCCTTCTCAACAACTGGAGCGGTCGAAGGGCATCACTTCATCAAATATCATAAACTGGTCAGCCTTTCTGAGCAACAACTTGTGGACTGCAGTTCAAAGGAAGGAAACAATGCTTGTAACGGTGGTCTCATGGATTTTGCCTTCACCTACATCCAGGAAGCTGGTGGTATTGTAACAGAGGATTGTTATCCCTACGTATCCGGAAAAACTGGTGAAGAGAACCCGACATGCTCAGTGAATAAAACGTGTATTGCAGCACATGTGCAAAGCTATGTGGATGTGCAAAAAGCAAGTGAATCTGCCTTGAAGAGTGCCGTTGGTCTCAAAGGCCCAGTGGCGATCGCTATTAACGCCGGCCTACCATCCTTTTCATTCTACTCATCAGGTGAGTACACACCATTATCCCAGTCTTCATCAAGATAAGACTCGAAGGTGTTTTCATTAGCCAGCTGGTTCATTGTTCTCTATCATAGATGTAACCAAGTTTTTGCAAGTTTTGCGTAAAAATAAAAATGAGTTCACTCAGTGAAAGTGTTTGTTGTGGCACTGCACGATGCCGGATGCTGTTGCCTATCATTTGAATCATCGTTTATTACATAGAACTAACATTTTAATTCCGAGTACTAGCGCAGGCACCCAATTTTTCGGTGATTTTATTTTCAAGCCATTATATGGTACATAGCGGTGCCTGCGTTTAACTATTGATGGATTTTAATGAGCGAACGCTGGTGTACGAAACAAAACCACTACTATGGTGATTATACTCTGTAAAGGATGGTAAACGCCGACAGCATATCGATCGGTGGTGCATCGATTGCATTTGAAATCCAAATGTTGTCTACTTCCCGGTACGCAATACTCAGACTAGATGGAATTGTGACGCAAAGAATTTACTGTATGCACTTCCTGTTCATTTGCCCTCACTCTTCTCAGGTATTTATGAAGACAAGAGCTGTGGAGGCGATGAAACTGATCTGGATCATGGTGTTCTGGCCGTGGGATATGGTCATGAGAACGGTACTTCATACTGGCTAGTAAAGAATAGCTGGGGACCTCACTGGGGTGAAAACGGTTATATTAAAATCCGCAGAGACAAGAACAACATGTGTGGAGTTGCTACCGCTGCTTCCTACCCGATCGTGTAACGGGAGAAAGAAGGATGCTGATCAATTTTCTGTGACGATATCTTTTTCATCGTGAACCGTATTTCTTTTTGACAAATCATACCCCGTTTATTTACACAAGCATTGACACTGATTCACTCCACATTTTGTACCCATTTCCTCTCCGGTCGATTCATTCATATGGTATAAATCACATCTTATTTTGATAGCACCTTGTCGGTCTTTTACTACCAATTTAATAAATTAAACGAGCTGACCTATATAATGTAACTGAATAAGACATTTTCCTTATAACTATGGGATTCACCTCAGTTATCTTTATTTATTACACACCAGTGTGATGAACAGCAGTCGGGGCGGACCCCATAGTCACGAAGACCTGCTGCTTAGTGATGATAACTGACAACCTAAGCCCAGGGGCCTGGAGTGGTAAGCCACATAAGGCTTCGCTAGCTCAGACGTGGCATTGAACCAAACGACAGCAAAGCTGCCTACCACCAAAGTTGGGTCGCGGTGTCGGGGCTCGAACCTCGGACCACAGGGTCCAAAGCACGCCGGTGACAGCGACTAAACCACCGCGCCACCACCACCATAAGTATGGGGATAGCACAGCTCCTTGAAGGACCCCGGAGTTGTTGACNNCCTTTGGAATGCATATAGGGTGTCAAGAATGCACTACTACCGGCGAGCTCTTCCTAATTCTGTCTCACGAATGCATGCTTTCAAAGTTACACAACAAAGAAGGATGCATAGTAAGAGGGGTTAAATACACGTTTACGAAACCATCTTGTTTGAAAATAAAAATAAAAAACCTACACACAAACTTCAGTGGATACTTTCGTCGAATCGCGTTTAATTTCACTCTCAGCCGTACGTTTATTACACTGTGTCCCTTTGGGTGGGCCAGCTCTGAGTACTGAACCGGTCTACACCATCAATCTTCAGCTCGTTCCCAGTAGTCATTCTAGTTCGAAGTGATCAGGGACCCCAAGAAAGCATCATCTTGTCTCAAGCTAATAGATAGGGCTCCCCTGGATTCTATATACGACTCACCTTATTGGGAACACACGAAACTCATCTCTTACGCACTATACCTAACTTTTTGGAAGGATCTAGATTAAATCTAACAACATGATTTCATGCATTGACTGGGTGGGGAGGCACCAAACTTAATTTTCCGCCCCGTTTCGA